TAAAAATATTAATTATTCATAAAAGTAAATCAGAAGAGAATTTATAGTAAATAAGCAGGCAAATTTGCCTGCAAAACAATCTAAGGAATAAGTTACCTGATGCCAATCTTATTTTTTAATTGTATTATTTGAAATTGTGATTAACATGATTTTTGGCGATTACATTTGAATTTGATTATAGCTATATAGTGTCTTAATACTATATGTAGAATTTGTTACGATGAGCAACTTTTATTTTAAGGTTTAGATGTAGGATTTTAACTTTATATAGAACCTTAAAAAATGAATAATTTTTGCAAAATTCATAAAAAAAGTACAAAATGAGTAAACTAACTTTAAACTAAAAATTTAATAAAAAACTTTATTTTAATTATTATTTTTCTGATAATCTTTGAAACAATTACTTCTTTCCTTATTACAATATAAAGCTAAATTACATTTTATACAATATAATTGTGATTGGGAAGGATTTTTCGATGCCTTTTTTTGTTCTTTTTTATTAAATATTTGCACTATATGCAGCTACTTCTTGCTTCTCTCCATTCAAAAAAAAATGACCATCTGGTGATAATCTCGCTAAAGAAAGTTCAAAATTTTCTGTAACATATTGCTTTTTTTCACTAGTCGAACGATGACAAATAGTGGACCAATCGGGTCAAATCTGGGTTGCCAGATTTGATCTGATTGGTTCCCTATTTTTTTGTGGTGGTTAAACCAACACAATAATTTTTTTGTTCATCTCACATTTTATTAAATTTTCGAATTGTCTCTTAAAGTATCATGGCAGATCAAGACGAAGATTTGATTCCTAGTCAAACAGCAGGTTATAAAGTTGGTCAAAAAAAGACCCTCGAAGAATATAACAGTTTAGATGCCAACGATGAATCTCTTAAAAAGTGGAAAGAAACCCTCGGGTTAGGTACTCCGGCTTCTGGTAAGAAGTAAAGAATTTGTAAAATAGGAATTTTCGTAACAATTCAAAATCTAGACTAATAAAATTTTGGCTTAGGTCCTGTTGACGATCCTCGAAGAGTATGTCCGAATGTTTTGATTATTTAAAATTTATTTATAATCACGAATTAAACACACACAGTTTATCATCAATTCAGGTTGTTATTCTTGAAATTGCACTAGAAGTTCCAGGAAGAACAGATGTCGTTTTGGATTTATCAACTCCAGGTTTTTTTTTTAAAATATTGATAATAGAAGCAGCATCTTGTAAATGGTAAATTAATACGTGATTCTCTGATAGAGTTACTTGAAAATGTTAAAAATAATCCATTTACAATCAAAGAAGGCGTGGAATATCGTATGAAAGCCAAATTTAGGTAAAACATGTTTTCAAATATTCCATGCTATTAATCAATTATCTAACTTTCTATTATTTTTTATTATTTGTTGTATAGAGTGCAACATGAAGTTGTTTCCGGATTAAAATATTTGCAAGTTATTAAGAGAAAAGGAATCAGAGGTAAAATAAATACTTTATATTTGTATAATTTATTATTAACTAGAAGAGACTGACTCATCATCTGATCTGTTTCTAAAGTTGATAAAACCGAAGAAATGATTGGAAGTTACGGACCAAATCCCAACTCAGAACCTTATGAGAAGAAAGTATGTAACTCAAAATTTTATTTGACATAGTCGGTCTATATAAGTATAATATTATTAACTTTGGAAATAGTTCATGGCAGAAGAAGCTCCAAGCGGTATGATCGCACGTGGTCATTATGATGCAAAAGTAAGTGAAAATTTAAAATAATTTTAAAATAAATAAATTACATTTTTATTAACACTTAACCTTACCTATTTTTAACAGAGTAAATTTATCGACGATGATGGTATCACTCATATTGAATGGTCTTGGGTAAGTTTTATTATTATTTTTATCTTTGCATTAATTATAATTATTTTTGAAACTAATAAATATTTTAAAATCAATTAGTCTTTTGATATCAAAAAGGATTGGGATTAATTATAAACTTTTCGAATTATTTAATAAAGGCAAACAATTAATTTATTTGTTTAAATTTTTTTAAAATTTTTTAAAATTTTTTGATCAACTAGTTTTTGATATTTATTAAATAATGAAGCACGATTATCTTTATTATAATAAAAGCTAGTAATCATGAAGATTCTGATCAAAAGCTTTAATATGTAATTAGAATGGTTTGAATTTATTAATAATAAAATGTTCTAAATAAATATATATATATATATATATTACATTATCTAATATAAATATTGATAATCTCTACCATATACGTTTACAATTTAGCATCATGTATAATAGAAAAATATTAATATATTATCAAGCGTGAGTAGTACGACTTTTATTCAATAAAGTCCAATGAAATTTTTTATATTAAAACAATCAATGAACGGTCTAATTTAGAATTATATTTTGTACGTATTTACATGTTTACATGAACAATTTTTTTCCCCCAAAACACTAATTTGGATTAATCCTCAATTTCTCTTTTTGATGTATATTCCCCCATAAATTCTGTTATCGTTAATGATGCATTTGTCAAATTCTCAAAGTTCTTTGTTTCTTTTGTTGGTAGCATCGTTTATACCATTCGAATGATCATAATTACGTGATGAGATTTTATTTATATGATCCTCAGCAACGATTGATGAAACATCCATTTTCCAACTTTTTTGTGTTTCTTGATTATCTGTAATGTTCATTTGGGAACTTTGCATGTCTATTAAATCTGAATTATCGCAAGACTTTTCTTCTTTATATCTACTATCATTCCTAGGAGGAATTTCTTTGCCCTTTGCTTTAAATCCATCAGAATATAAATTACCATCAACATTACTTTGCAATTGAATCAATTTTTCTTTACAAAATTCCACTAATTTTTCATTTATGCTTCGTGAAGAAGGATGGTTAATCTTATCCTCTAAAGCCTTTATTGACGTCTTTGTTATATTTAAATTTGATAAGTGATCAGCGGAAGTAGTGGCAGTTGAACTTTGCTTTAGCAGAGAAAAGTTGAGATCCGGAGATTTTCGATGTAATTCACAAATTTCACGGAGAATTTCGATGTCTTTTTTTGAATTGATTGATTAATGAAATAAAGATATAATTATTAGAATGTTTAAAATTTTTATCAATAAATTAAAAATACTTACTGTAAACAAAACGTAGCATATCAGGGTAGGTAAGACCACCATGTTCTTTAATTCCTGGAAGTATTACTCGCCGAAACAATCGATCACGCCAATAAGGCCAACCGTATTGTGTCAATACTATTATATGCCCCAGTGTGTTATCTAGTTGATTATGTGGAATTGAACTAAGTTCTTTCTATAAGATGTGAAATATATGAGAATAGTAAAAAAGTATCAAAAAGAAATGTAAAAATAATGTTCAAAAATATTTACCTCATAACATGCCATTAATTCTTTTATTGCCCTCACAACAAGACCTTCCTGTGTAACTTCCATTAGCCTAAATTGCTTTCGTTTATATTCTTCACCATAACTAATACCATCAATTTTCTTCTTGTTAATGTACCAATCATCCCTCTCAAAGTGTTCTCGAGTCACAGGTGTAAAAGGTATAGTTGCCAATATAATTAAAAGTTCTACTCGTGCTTCTCTCCACCAACCAACTAAAAGATAAAGCATAGAAATGGAATAAATCACTCGAAACGGAAGTATTAATGGGGTTTGTACTTTGATAGAAAAGTCATTTATTTTAGACGAATCCGAAGATTCTTCTTGCATCAATTGTTTTGTTTGCAAGTAATCAGTAGTTGAAGATAATGAAGGAGATTGTTCTTTCTTAAATGCTTTCTTACGATAAGCATCCCAAGCACTTGAAATTCGAGTGCATATTTCTCGACAAAAAGTACATGCTGTGTCTAAAGATCCATGAGAGAAAGCAAGGTCCCCGCGCGTCAACATGATCGCATTCGACACATCTAATGGGAGATCCCATGATTGAATATGATTTTCTAATTCTATAATATAAAATTACATTTTAAAATCAAAAATGATTTTTGAAACACATGATGCAAACTGTTAATATTACTGTTATTATACCTTGATCCAATACTTTAGGATCATTTCCTCCACGTGAGACCATTTCCTTTAAAAACTGCCAGCACGTCAAAGCACGTTCCATATGTGACATGGCATTATGAATTATTGTTTCTGAAGAAATATTTGATTCTAAAATTTATCAATGAAGTAATAATAATTTAATTATTGATTAAAAATTTAATTCATGATAAAAATGAAAAAAAAAATATTCTTTTAAAAGGTTTATAAATAAATACCTTCCCATAATTTAATTTGTTCTATCTTCAGTTCATGATTAGTTTCGATTGAATTTTGTTCTAATTGCTCATCATCATTACCAATCAACAAGTTTTTAACATTCATAACACTACTATCCCTATATTTATTACTTATTTCATCATTTACACTATTAATATTAATTTGCTTTGATTTTCTAAAAGATACCCCTGAATCATCAATATAACTTTCACTTTCTGTTTCACCAACTTCTTTGTCATTAGATCCTCTTGATAATAAAAAGCTAAGACTGAGCCTCCTCCTTTTATTAATTCTCGTCTCGTTGCAAGAAACATGATGAGCGTAAGAATTAAGTGAAGTGGATGTTAATCGAGGTGATGAGAGTGGTGTCAAGATAGCAAATTGTCCAATTGGAAAAATGGGAATCAAACACGTTCGTTTGCCTACAAATATTAATATAAAAATCAATCAATGATGAGCGTTTCTTTAAAATATTTAGAGAATTGATGCTTACGTACTTTTTAGTCCAGCTACATATTCATAAAATTCATGACAACATAATACAAAACATGCGATACCTATAGATACAGCAAAAGGATGCGGTGCAGTATCATGCATCATGAAAGTTTGATTAACCAGAGACAATTGTTTTTGATTCAAAAGCGAAAATAATTTTAACGGTAATTGATGTGGATCGTCAAAAAGATCTACCATTGTTGTTCTTGGAGAACTAAATTATAAAATTGATATATTAAGAAGGAATAAAATATAATTCAGTGGGTTGGTTAACCCTAACATTACAATGAAAGTACCTTTCAAATCTCAAGTATCCACAACTATTCATTACTCCTAATGAAACTTCGAACAATTTTCGCCAATCTTTGTTGGCAATATAAAAACCTTGTGCCTTTTCAAGCAATGATTTCAGTTGGTTATAAGTGACATGTAAACAGGATTGAGAAGTATTTGATTGCGACGTTGAAGATGTGGCTAAGGATATGGAGGATTTGGAGGTTTTCGGTTGATAAATTGGAATTTCTGACGGAAGATTGTTATCATATACTATGATTTTTTGGTGGAGAATTTCGGATAAAATATCTTCCACTTTTTGGAAAGAAAAATTAGGTCACAATTAATTAAATCCCCGCAGAGTAGTGGACATCTGGATAAGTTTATAAAACCATTCCATACTAATCATCTAACAATGATCTTGCGATTGATAATTAATACAATGGTTACCAACCTAATATCTTTCTGTAAGAATTGGAAACAGGTAATGGCTGATTCTGGTTTTCGCATTGAATTGCGAGTTGAGCAGCATGCGACTTTTTATTTTTAATTTTATTAAAAAGAAATTAAATAAAAATAAAATTAAATTAAGATAAAATAAAATAAAAAAAATTATTATTTTAATCATCGATATCAAAATGTAATTGATTAAATTCCCAAGAAAGTAGAATAGTATTATAATAAAAAAATTAATATTATATTTGGTTTTTTAACAAAGTACAATGACAATTTAGAATCTAGGATCATGAAATCAAATTACCCCATATAAAGCGACAGTTTCTGGGTATGCTTTTAGAAGTAGAACGTATAATCTACAGGCATCTAAATACGCACCAGCCATTTCATGGTAATCTAAAAGTAAAAGTAAGAGATAAAAACTTAATACGTATTATCATCAATCATAATGCAAAATTTAATAGGATATTACCTGCACTATGTATTAAAATTTCTTTTTGAGTTCGTGCCGGAAGTTTAAGAAAGAAACCTAAAAAATAATTATAAAAAAGAAAGAAAGAAATGATCATTTAGGAATTATACTCGAGTTGATATATACTATTTATAATTAAACATGAAGTAAAGATGTATGAAGCACATAGTTACGAATCGACATGCTTTACCAAGCTAAGAGAGAATTATTCTCTCAAACCTTTAATCCAATTTACCCTAAAGCAATTACCTCACCCGTTGGGCATCAAATGAGATTAATTTTCTACATTTTGACGCGTTTATTCTGCAACCTTAACGCCAGATTCTCTTAAAGTGTAGTGTTTTAGATAACACATAAACATTCTCGTATTGAAATTAGCAATAACAAGGTTAGCATCTCTACTCTCTCCCCATTTTTTGAATTTCAAAAATAGAAGTCTTTGTTTTGTTTTATGATATTAAGTTTCAGATAATAGATAACCATATAATCATCGAGCTAATCCCATGAATTAAATCGGTAAACTCACACTTGAACAAAATTAAACGGTCTATGTGCAGTAAAAACGTTGTGAAATTTTTTTCTTTTTTTTACTCACTGAAATTATCGTCCGTAAATCGATGTCGCACGGAATGAGTTATTTGAACTAGATACTCTTTCAGCGGCTCATGACTAGGGAAAAGTCTTCGTCTAATAAATTTTTATTTTAGATAATTGAAATATAATAATTTTTTATAAAGATTAAGATTGCTTTCTTTATTCTTAAAGAATTTTTAATGCTTAACGTGTTCCAAATGTAAAAATATAATAAATTTGTAAATATATAACATTACAAGAATTAAAAAAAATAGAACTTACAATTCATCAAAATATTTAATTGCTTGAGACATGTCACCTTCTTTGATTGATATTCTGTGGGCTAGGAACTATTACATGTGAAGGTGTTATGTTGATTGATCCAAAATTGAGAAAGTTTAACCATTTAT